ATTTTTAAGCCTATTCTTCAGCAGGAATTAACCAGCCTCCAGAGAAGTACATCTTTAAATGTGAAGGCTACCAGGTACTTTGAGAACCTGATGCAAGTTAGGTACCATCTCCCTAGAGGGACAATTACGTATCTTCATCTAACATATACAGTCAAGGGCTTCACAACCCTAAATCTCAGGTGAAGAATTTCTGCTGTACGTGGCACTAAAACAATTTAAACCTATTTGATGGCAAGTTAGGTACCATCTCCCTAGAGGGACAATTACGTATCTTCATCTAACATATACAGTCAAGGGCTTCACAACCCTAAATCTCAGGTGAAGAATTTCTGCTGTACGTGGCACTAAAACAATTTAAACCTATTTGATGATAGCCAAAGTAACAGTGCTCTTGAAATCAAAAGTCCTTTGCACTTGGACCTCACATGAAGCCCATCCTTTGATCAATAACTAAAGCCGGTTATCTCCAGTGCCAACTGCCTTCTAGATTCCAGGTTTGCCTGTAGCTCTGCAGCTGGCACCGTCTTTCCAATCAAATTCTATTATTTGCCTCATTGTTCTATAGTGCATCATTGTAGATTTTCTCCTGAAATTCATGCTTTCAATACCCTATTTGAACTCCCCATCAAAGAGGCCAAGTAATAGTGAAGGACTCTGAAGAGCTTACCTGTTTATGGTAGAAAGAACACTAAACTGACAGACAGGAATATTTTCCAGAATCCATCATTTACAAGGTGTGTAATCCTGGAAAAGTCACTCTATTTCTCTAGGCTTCATATTTTTCAATTATGAAATGAGTACAATAATTGAGGACTTTTCTGTCTCACAATGTTGCTGTGACAAAACAATACGATAATGCCCAAGAAAATACTTTGGAAACTATTAGGTTACATATAAATATAAGAGATAGTGATGATGATGATGATGATATCTCTAACTACTGTGAATGAGACCAATAATTATTCATTCATAGTTTTATAGTGGTTGGTTCTAATTATATTGTGAGTCATCACCACTTGGACAATAAGTTGTATCTGAGCTTGAGTCGAAATTTCCCATGTAAGTTAACTGACAGTATCAGATTCACTGCCTTTATGTGTGGAATATGGTCACCATCTATTCTATAGTCTTGCTACTTGGTTGTTGTTCTTTAATGTTGTGCTCAAACCACAGTTGAATTGTTTACCACAACTCTTGCTTTTTAAATTCAAATAAGTGAGTTAAAAATAATAACTTGCCTGAACAAATGTTTCATCTCTAGGAATTTGTCCTTGCAGTTTCTCATCTCTTGCATTGAAAGTATAGTCATTATGCAAGTTAAATTATAGTTTCTATCTAAGTTTTTTAAAGAAATAGATTAAAAGCATTTGTACTCTCTTCAGGAGCTATGTCGAGGGCAGGTACAAACCCATTTATACACTAATTGTGGGAAGGACTTATAGTCCCTACCATGTCCCACATTATTACCAAATCCTAGTGGCATCCGACAGGTAGAAAGAAGAGAAAACAAACAATTCCATCTTTATTTGGAAACTCACAAGGCTAGTTGCAGATGAAATTAAATATATTTTAAAGCTCTCTTGAAATAAAATTTTTACATAAAGGCAGATGTTAGTGTAACATAATTTATGTGGTATATAAGCCATATCAAGACAGCCTACCTAAAAAAAAGATTATATGTGAAGGAATTTGTATGCCTGTTAGCATAACTGACGTCATCTTGAGCCCTTAAAGTTTCTCCTGCCCTTCTGCTGACCCTACCCAGGACTGTGCTGTGCAGTGAATCACTTCTCTGTCATCAAGGGCTTTGCAGGTAATAATCATAAGGACCAGGTAGCCTCTATACTCTTTTAGTCCCCAAACAATGATGAAAACCTTCCCTGACATATTCCTGGCACCCATGAGTCTAGTGACCCATTCATAAACATTGTTTCCAAGCACGTACCCCCATACCCCAGGTTAACTATAAAATTGTCCCAGTGGCCCCTCGGCAGTGCAGAGTACAGCTGTGAATGCTTCCAGATTGTTGTCTGCCCAATTCCAATCCCACCCTCTAAGTTACTCTATAATAAATCAATCCACTGATTATACGGAGCTGCCTGCCTCATTTTTTGGTCTTACGACGCTTCCTCAGTTCAATGGGCACTTTTCGTTCCCTTTGTCCTTCAACAGAATTCAGAGAAGGCTACATTTGAACATAGAAATTTGGGACTATGACTAGATTCAGTTAATCCATTTATTTTACTAATTCTTTATAAATAAATAAATAACCACTGAATATAGGGTGGTTTACATCAATCTGCCCATCCATCCGTCAGATATGGTCCCTGCATGCATGGCATTTATAATCAAGTGGGAGACAAAATCAAAAAGAAAGCAAAGTGGTATGTAATTCCACGTTTGATGAGTTCAGTGAATATCTATCGAGAGAAAGATAGGAGGTGAAGGGGCCTACTTTGCTCGGATGACCAGAGAAGGCCTACCTGAGGACATGACAGTTAAGCTCAGAACTGGAGAGAAGTCTAGGCAGAGAGAATAGTGACTGCAAAATCCCGAAGGTATGAAGGAGCTTGGCATGTCTGAAGAACTCCAGGAAGACTTGTGTTAGAGTCCAGTGAGGGGAGGAGGAAAAGATGCTGGATCAAATTGGTCAAATATTGATAGGCCTGTTTAAATGTTAAATTTCGATCTAAATGCAAAGGAAAGCTTTTGAAAGATTTTAAGCAGAGGGGGCTAACAGATCAGATTTACTATGTAAAGGCAAGAGGAGAAAACAGAAAGATTAATTAAGTAGCTGCTACAATAGGCCAGACAAGATATGCTGGCTGTTTGGACTATGGTGGTGGCAGCTGGGGGGGCGAGGAGTGGACATTTGAGATGTATTTAGGAGGTAGAATGGAAAGGATTTGGCGGTACGTTGGAAATTGAGGGTGAGGCAGTGGGAGAAATCAAGGATGACTCCTAAGTATCTATCTTGGGCAAGTAGGCAGTTGGGGACTATGCCAGACTCTGTTTGAGGTCAAAGATGACTCACCAGGTGCCCAAGGATCACCCTCTGCCTTGGGCTGTACGAGTGGATGCACTACTTTAATTCCACCAGGTGGTACAAATGACGGACTGAGGTTAATTTTAACCATATTCTTCCCAGTGTGCTTGTTAGCTATCCAAATTGTCTTCTTTTTCCATGTTGAATAGAAAATACGATCACCAAAAACGGACATCGCAAAAATGTTGTGCCTAAAAACAACAGGAGAAACACATAAAGAATGGCAGAACATTTCTTCTGGGCTTATTAAAGTTTCACTTCATTTCAATTTATTGTCTGAATTTTAACCACCTATGTTTTCAATTGTTTCTCATTTAGGGTTAGAAACAGATATTAAGTTGAAATTTTTCTTTATGTAGCCATAATCTGAATTAATAGGATACGATTTTTAGCTCCAAATCCATTCTCATTCTTTTGCCTCTCAGCACATAAGTGTGGTGAAAATAAAATAGGGAAGAAAACAGGAACAGGATAAGAGTGGACTTCAGGGCTTCCCTGGTGGCACAGTGGTTGAGAGTCCGCCTGCCGATGCAGGGGACACGGGTTCGTGCCCCGGTCCGGGAAGATCCCACATGCTGCGGAGCAGCGGGGCCTGTGAGCCATGGCCGCTGAGCCTGCACGTCTGGAGCCTGTGCTCCGCGACGGGAGTGGCCACAACAGTGAGAGGCCCGCGTACCTCAAAAAAAAAAAAAAAAAAGAGTGGAATTCAGGTTGTGTCAATTTTGCACAACTAATTGCTGCCTCTTGCCGCAAGCTAGAGTCAGTTGCTGGCAAGATAGCAAGTCAAATGAAAGACAGATGCTTCACAAAACATATGACATAGTAATTCCAAAAAGAATAACTATAACCAGCATGTGAAAATTTATTATATGCCAAATACTCTGTTAATTATTTTTATTTGTGTTTCTTTACGTAATCTATACAATAATCCCAAGAAATAGGTCCTATTATTATCCCCACTGTATGGCTCTCAGCATAACTGATGCCATCTTGGGCCCGTACAATTCCTCCTATCCTTCCGCTGACCCTACCCAGGACTGTACTGTGCAGTAAATAACTTCTCTGTTGTCAAGGGCTTTGTAAATAATAGATATTGATTAATAATCATTAGGATTGGATGGCCTCTATGCTCTCTTACTCCCCATAAAATGATGAAGACCTTCATTGCCATATTTCCAGCACCCACAAGACTTAGGAATAAATCTTGACTGAGGAATGCACTTCCTGTTTCCAAGCACATATCCCCATACCCTAGGTTAACTGTAAAATTGTCTCAGTGGCCCCTTGGGAGTGTGGAGTGCAGCTACAAATGCTCTGGATCGCTGCCCACCCAATGCCACCCTCTGAGAAAATTACCCTATAATATACTGATCCATTGCTTATATGGAGCTGCCTGCCTTGTTGTTCAGTCTCAAAATACCATTTCAGTTCAGTGGGCACTTTTTGTTCCCTCCCTACTCCGACACCCACATTAAAGGAAACAGGATGAGAGAAGTTGTGTAACCTGCCCAAGTCACTCAACCTAATAAATAGTAAATCTGGGACTTGAGCTCAAGGTTTTGGACTCCAAAATCTGTACTAAACCACTACACCAGTTTAGCTGACAAAAGTAAAATTCATTTACCACAAAAACTTCAAATGGCAATTGTGTTATTTTATACCAGAAGCAAAACTTACTGTGTGTGATGTTGGCTAAAATGGACGGAACCTCCATCGTAATCACAGGAACAAATACGAGAATTGCTTCTTTCTCTATGGTACTGAATCCAAAAGAGCCGTTTATCAAGCACATCCAATGACACAGCTGTTATTTTCTCTGATGTCTCTAACAGAAACTTCACTTCCACACCACTGAGATCTGCTCTGTGAAGGCTGCCCGCCACCTCTGAAGACCAAAACATAAACCTGAGGGCAAACACATCACGTAGACACATAATTGAATGTAAGGTCACTGAAATGGCTGACTTCTCTCAGTTTTTCAGTAATCCCTGGATGTTTGCACGGGACGAGTTTGACTATTTTGAATGAAAATTCAATTCAACAAATATTTATTGCCCTGTTATGGCAATTCCGTGTGATTTCAAGTTAGAAGGAGAATTACGCTTCTCTAGCAGGAAACCATGGTAGTCAAGAGTGCTACTGGTAGAGCGAGCCTGCCTCAGTTCAAACCCAGGCAAACGCCCTATTGAAAATGGTGTTTGTGCATTGTAAAAGAGAGTCTTGGTCTCAATCAGGAGGTCTCTTTAAGTCAAAATGTCATGATTCCATGAATTTCATATTTTGAAATATATTTCAACGTCCAAAACCAGCAGAATTTACCTTTCTACTGGATCAACTGCTATATTTGCAGGATATTTTAAGGCACTTAAGAGAACACGGGAATTGTTTCCTTTCATATCTGTTACTGTAATGATTCCTTCCTGTTGATTTGACCAAATAAGTTCTTCATTGATCCAATTTATTGCCATTCCTGAAACATTTTTCTCTATCTCGCGTATTTTCTGTAAAATCAAATTTTAAAATTGTTATTAGTATTTCCCCATTCACAACAAAATTGTTTTTATTGTTACGTATCAAAGTTTATTCTTTTAAGTTCTTGTCATTTTTCTGCATTCCCAAAATTTAAATGATAAACTAGTCATAGATACCATGCCATTATTCAGATGCAGCAATATTCATCCTCCCGTGTGAATATTTCTGGGCATAGTATTTATATTACAGCTTTGAGATGAAAATTTATTCTATATTTATTGAAATTAGGCAATCAGCCATAAAGTGTTAATTATTTCAACTATAGTAACAGTGGAATTTCCATGCTACCTTAAGTTTAGTTTATTCAATTCCATTTGCTAACGGAATTTTCCAGGTTCTCACCTGAACCCAATTCAAAGCTTTGCTAAATTCTGGCAAGATTCCCTTGGAGTTTGTGCATAGGGGCATGAAGTAGATTAATTTCTTCTGGGCCCTCTTCCTCCCTTTATAAAGGGACCTTCCAGGTCCCTCCCTTTCTAAAAGTCCTCAGTGCCTTCAGGCTCTGTCCCCAGGATCTGAATAGCAGGGCTTTTCTTTATGCTCTCTCCTGATAAAAACAACCTAACCAAACCTCAATTATCTCCTAGTTCCAGCATGTGCAGGTAAACCAGTCCTCTAGGTACGCGGGGGGTGAGAGATTGGAGGAAGCCCTGATTTGTACCATGGCAGATTTCCGTGGTGGAAATATTCCCACAATCACTGATTTTCAGCTACCGATGTGAAATCAGCAAACACAGAGTTGGGCAGAAATCAGTCTCAGGAGTCTTTGCTATTCCTACATCCCATACAAAGTAATCTAGCCAATCCATTTAACTAATTGCTAATATATTAGTTCACCCCGGTAAATGGTTTGCCTTTTTTTTTTTTTTTTTTTTTTTTCTT